CTACAGCTCTTTGAAGAGGTTGAAGATTATACTATCTATACTAAATATGATCTCTATGCACCTAAATAACCTGATTAGCCTAAATATAAATATAACAAACATATATGACTATTGATTTCTATCTATCTAACTTGAAGACTAAGAGAATGAACAACTGTGCAATGAGTGAGGACAATGAACTCCAAATGTAAACAATGTATGTCATTACATAAATATCTTAATCAGAGGTAGGAATGTAAATATATGTATATGTATATGTATATATATATCAATACAAATAGAGGTAGAAGCATACTCATGTACAATATTCAATATATCAATGTACAAAAATCAACACCAATCGCAGTGCAATCGGTAATGAAAGATCCCCAGACTATCTTACAAAAGATACAGCTTTAATAAAACAGAAGGAAAAACTTAAACCAGAATCCCAACTGTCTGGAACGCTGGTTCCAGGCCAGGGCAAGATAGGGCAGGGGAAATGCACCCGCCAGGTTTATTGGTAAACTTTTGCCTTAGGGCAACACGCCCCACAGACAGAATGTGATTGGCTGAACTCCCCTATCACAGAATGTGGTCAGAACGAGGAGAAAGAAGTCAAGATTTGAGAGAGAGAGAGAGAGAGAGAGAGAGAGAGAGAGAGAGAGAGAGAGAAAGAGAGAGAGAGAGGGGAGAGAGAGAAATGTGTAAGAAAAACATTCTGAAAACCAGCAAGTGAGCTAGTAACAAAGGGAAAAGGACACTATTTAAAAAAAAAACTTATAATTCTGAATGGGCAAATGATCTGGATTTTCATTTCTTAAAATAAGAAACAAAAACTTAAGTGGACAACAGTTACCAATGCTAACCAGTGTGGGCCGTCCCTGAGCAGCCGGTGTTGGTGAGGGTACAAAGGGTAAGACCCTTGGTGGGAATTAGTGTAGCCACTGGGGAAAGAGGAAGGGAGGTAATGGGCAGGGGAGGAAAGAAGACAGGAGGGGAATGGATGGGAGGGAGAGGAAGGGGGAGAGGGAAGGGGAGAAAGAGCCCCCAACTATGAAACCACCTCCTCCACTCTGCTCACAGAACCCCAACATTCTGGTCTCTGGAATCCAAGCCCATGAGAGGCTTGTTTAAATTAGTTTTAGGTGGTTTTCGGGGAGGGAGGGGTGACATTGAGACAGGTTTTCTCTCTGTAGCCCAGGCTAGCCTCTGGCATGAGGTTCTCCTCTAAGCCCTCAGCTCCCCTTTCTCCATTCCTCCTCCACTATGGGCAGCTCTGAGTATAAACAGGGTTTCTCCAGCTGGGCACCTTCACCCTGTAATCAAAGCCCTCTAGGAAACTGGTGATGATGAGGGGGACTGCGATTATGGGAAGTTTGAGGCCAACCTAGGTTATACATTGGATTTGAAGTTAGTCTGGGCTACAGAGTCAGACCCTGTCTTCAAAATTTGAAGAGAAGCACAGGAGGAGGGGGAGGAAGAGGAGAATGAGGAAGAGAAAAGTTAGATAGATAGATAGATAGATAGATAGATAGATAGATAGATAGATAGATAGATAGATAGTTTTGCGTTTGGAGAACTGAGGGGCACTCCAGTGGCTGAGCAGCCTCCCCAGACTCCAGACCCCAGAGCACTTGGCCAATGCTCCGGAGAGTGCCCTTCCTCCCAGGATCAGCTTTCTGGCCCCTTCCCTTCTCTGTTCCGTGAGTCACTGTCACAGGGCTACCTTATCAGGGGCTCCCTGCCCTGGGCCCCTTGCCATGAGGTGGACTGCAGTCCCTCACTTTGTTAACTGACAACCAGGGTGCTGGTCCCATGACCAATCCAGCAAAATAGCCCAGAGTAGGGCAACTGTGCTCCGATGGCCCAGCTGCCCCCTTGAGCTGCCAGCTTCTTCTATCAAAGAAGCCACACAAGGAAAATGGCCCTGGGTCAGCACAGGTCTGCTGTGGTCTCTGGGGCTCAGAGACCCTCCATTCTCAGCAGGTCCTTGAGAAACAAGCCCTGAGGATCAGGAGAAGGATTCCAAGGACCCAGTCAGACACACCCTGCTTCCCTTCTCTCTTCTTGCTGGCCCCTCCTCTTATCTGTGTGCAGGCCTCTCTTCTCTTCTCGCCTCCGCCTCTCTATCTCCTGACTGGACATGGCCAGCCCCTGATTGCTGCCTTCCCTTCAGGAGCATGCATGGCTGTTTTCATGAGTGCCTGAAAAGACCAGAGCAGCCATCATGGACAACAACAACAACAACAACAACAACGACAACAGAGCAACTGAAAAGGAAAGGGGTCCATTTCTACTCCCTGCCATTCTTTGTTTAAAGATTTATTTTATCAGGAATAGAGGGAGAACTCATGGGTTAAGAGCACTGGTTGCTCTTTGACAGGGCCTGGGCTCCATTTCCAGTACTCACATGGCAGCTCACAACTGTCTGTAACTCCAGTTCCAGGGGATATGATGTTTTCTTTTGGCCTCCATGGGCACAGGGCATACACATGGTGCACAGACATAATTGCAGACAAAATACCCATATGTATTCAAGGAAATGGGAAAAAAAGAAAAATAGTTATTTTATCATTTGTGTGTGTGAGTTTCTACACATGTGCAGGTGTCCAAGGAGCCATAAGAGAATTCGGATCCCGGCAGCTGGAGTTACCAAGAGTTATGAGACACTGGACATGGGTGCTGGGAACTGAACCTAGGTCCTGTGCAAGAAAGGACTATGTTCCTACCCACTGAGCCATCTCTCTAGCCCTTCCCTACATCTGCCCAACACAGCAGCGCTCAGCTTCACGTCCTTCCACCCAATGGAGGCGACGCCATTTGCTGTGTGGTGGGTAGGTGATCTTCTAGCTCCTTTCCCGCTAGCCCCTTCCACGGCCCCACAGCCTATCTCAGAAAAACCAAGAAAAAGCCCAGAGTGCCACTGGGTAGCAGAGTTGAAAGCCCAACACTTTTTAAAATTTCCAATTGGGAAACACATTCAGACCCTTGGACATAAGATTCTGGTAGAGAGTTTGTGGTCAGAGTCCTTGGAAGGGTAATGGCCTCATGTTTCATGAAGAAAAACCTGAGCCACATGTTCAGACTGGAGCCTCCCTGTGAGAAGGGCCCTGATTGGCCAGGCCAGAGCCAGGGAGGAGACTGTGACTGAAGGATGCTCTTAGGGACAGGACCTAGGTTGCAAGGTCAATGGGGCGGGGCAACAGGCACAAGATGGGCTAAGTCTCTCTAGCACAGCCTACAGACGCTGCCTGCCTCCTGGGGAGCGCTTTCTGAGTGTTCCCTGGAGTCCCAACTGCACAACCCTCTAACCAGCTTGCCCTCCAAAGTCCTCACTGTGGGAGTTGTGGCTGCACACTTCTATCAGGCCACACCACAGACCCAGAGCCACTCCGGCTTTCTTCTCCACCCCCACGGAATCCATTCATTTCCATCCATGCTCATAACCCAGGCTGAGATCACATTTACTAAGACCATAGAGACTCCTGTCGTGTTTCAACCCATCTTCCATGTGGACCAGAGGGACCTTTCTAGAAACACATCTGATGGCATCAGGCCCCTGTCACCTGCCTCTCCCTTCTCTCCTGACTACAGAGGCCAGTGGGAACACGGGGAGTGAGGGACAGATTCTCCTGGGCTCTCAGCACACTGTTCCCTTCCCACATCCAGAGAAATGCAGCATGCTCCATCTGCTTGTCCTGCTTTTCTAGCTGACACTCAGCACGCCCTCTTTGTTTCCACGGCTTCCCTCTCTGCTGCTTTCCTCGTGAGCCCTCAGCATTCTGAGCAGATCCTGGAACCTCAGAAGGCACTGGACCAGTTTTCTGTTCTTGATTCGCCGTGTTTCCAGGTCAGAGTGAAAATCTCAATTCCCACCACCTGGGCAGGGCTTCCCTGCTCTCCATCCTTCCGTTCCAGTTCTCCTCTGAGCCTTTCAGGATTGTGGGCTTACCCACTCCTGTCAGAATGGCTGTCTCCTCAAGTTAGCAGAAGAAAATGCTGCTGAGGACAGGAAAGAGGAGACCTCTTACACACTTTGGGGTTAACCAGAGCGACCACTGCGGGGAAGGGCAGGGAGAAACTCTAAAAGAACCAAAAATACAACCTCCTTAGGATTCAACAGTCCTGCTAGTGAAGAAATAGAAAAAGAAAATGAAACTAGCCTATCAAAGAGACACCTAAACCATTGTTTATTCTCATAAATGTTCACAATGGCCACGATATGGAATCTACCATGTGGTCCAAGAGTGGATGAGGAGACGAAGAACATGCGGTACATCTGAGTGATGGAATACTATTTAGCTTCAAATAAACATCCTGTCTTCTGAGACGACATGGGTGAACCCGGAGGGCATTACAGGAAGTGGAATGATCCAGGGACAGAAAGACAAATGCTGCATGACCTCATTCATATAGGGTGTCTAGCAAAGGCTGACTCATACAAACATACAAACACAGGGCAGGACAGAAACCGGGGAGGGCCGAGGAGGAGGGTGAGAAGAGGCTAGCCATGGCTACAAAGTTACAGTTCTGAGAAGTCAGTACCACTGTTTTGTGGCCCAGAAGGGTGACTGCAGATAACAAATGTTTCAAAATGCAAGGGGAGAGTGACTTCTTATCATAAAGAAAACAAATGTCTGAGGTCAAATCAGCGTGCCATATGCATACCAAAACAGCAAAGTATACCCCATAAATGTGGACAACTCTAAAACATTCATATAAAAGGAGAGGAAGGCTAGGGAGTTTTACACCAGAGTAATAGATGAAGGAACCATAGTGAGAAACCACGGATCCCAAGTTAGGATCCTGTAAGTCCTTACCTGGGCTCTACCCGCTCCCCGTGTCTCTGAACTAGCAGGGAGGAAATCTACCATAGTTCTTCCTGTTTCATGTCTGTCTACCTGCAAATTAGCCAGTCCCTGCCTTTCTCCTGGTAGCTGTTAAACACCAACATCAAACGAGCTAGGAGGACCTGGCTGTCTGGAACAGCGCATCTCAATTCAGCCTCTGCTGCTCACCTTGCGCTGACTGCAAGCATCTTGCCGAAGAGCCGCGGGTGGCGTGCTGGTGGATGCTGCTGTCCTGTGTGCTGCTGGCCTGGGTGCGTCTTTGTTTCTCGGGCTCTTGATTATGATGGCTTCCCACGAACTAACATTCTGCCCAGTTCGATCTGTAGACCCAAAACTCAGAGAAAAGGCAAACATCCAGTCAAACATTTACCTGGGAGTGAAATCAGGCAGCAGGCCTCTTCCTGGTTTCACAATGCTGCTTGCTGCCCTGCTTCTTACCCCATGAGAGGAGGACCCTCTCTTCTGCTGCCTTCTCCTGGGCCTTGCTGCTGTCCCTTACACCCCAGCTGTGGTCCCAGGACCACCCATCTCCCAATGTATGGAGAGGCTTTCTTTGCTGGGCAGCCATGTGCCTTTGGCTAGCTATAAAACATTATCATAGGTAATAAATTAGGACTCTGACTCCAAGTCATAAATCAGGACCGCTGGCTTAGAGGTTCTCACTGGACACTGGCAGCCAGTCTCTTGCTTGGGGAACGCTACCCCCGCCACATGGCAGAACCTGCCAGCTGCCCCTGTCCTGAGGCAGAACGCAAGGCTGCTGCTTAGTGGCTCTCTCTTACCAAGTCCACGCTCCAGCCACACTGGCATCTATGAGCAAACACCCAAGAAGGGTTCTTGGGGGGGCGGGGGTTTCAGGAAGGCTGAATACCTCCTTGTACCAGATTTTCTTCTAGGCCACCAACCAGCTCCCAAATAATGACACGGAGACTTAATATTAGTCTTATTATATTATCCCTACCTTAAGATCATTTCTTTAAAAAAAAATTAAATCCTTCTCATTTTAATTGTTTGGATAGAAATGTGCTATACATTTTCCCCCACTCCCCTTCCACCCTCCCCCCTACCCTCCATGCTCCCAATTTACTCAGGAGATCTTGTCCTTTTTTCCCTTGCTAGGTGGATCCATGTATGTCTCTCTTAGGGTCCTCTTCGTTTGTCCAGGTTCTCCGTGAATGTGGACTGTAGGCTGGTTGTCCTTTGTTTTGTGTCTATCATCCACTTATGAGTGAGTACATATCACATTTGTCTTTCTGGGTCTGGGTTACCTCACTAAGGGTGACTTTTTCTAGTTTCATCCATTTGACTGCAGATTTCAAATGTCATTGTTTTTATTTACTGCTAAGTAGTATTTCATTGTGCAAGTGTGCCACGTTTTCCTTATCCAGTCTTCGGTTGAGGGGCATCTAGGTTGTTTCCAGGTTCTGGCTATTATGAATAATGCTGCTATGAACATAGTTGAGCAAATGGTGTGCGTGTGCATCCTTTGGGTATATGCCCAAGAGCAGTACAGCCGGGTCTTGAGGTAGACTGATTCCTAATTTTCTGAGAAACCGCCACACTGATTTCCAAAATGACTATACAAGATTTGCACTCCCACCAGCAATGGAGGAGTGTTTCCTTGTTCCACATCCTCTCCAGCATAAGTTGTCATCAGAGTTTTTTATCTTGGCCATTCTGACAGGTGTAAGACGGTATCTCAGAGTTATTTTGATTTGCATTATGCTAATTTCTTGCTAGCTCCTAGGACTTAACCTGTTCCTCTTCATCTATGTTTTGACTCAGGGCTTTTTACCTTCATTCCTTCCTGTATATCTCATTTTCCTGCTGTCTCCATGGCTGGCTGATGACTGTCTGGCTTCTGGCTCTGGGTACGTGCCTCTCTTTCTCCCTCATTCTCTTTTGCTTCTTCTTTCATATCTAGTTTTCTCCTCCTCCTCCTTCTCTCTGCAGCCAGCCCCACCTATTCCTCTCGTGGCCATTCAGGTTTTTATTGGACCAATCAGGTGCCTTAGACAGGCGAGATGAAACAAATGTAACACATCTTTACATCGTTTACAAAGGACTTGGTAGGAATGTTTCAGGCAGCGGTAGAGCGGTCAAGTGGGTGATACCGTTGTCTGGGGGCATCCGTGACAGTGGTGATCACTGCTTGCTGCCTCTCCTCCCACCATAGCTGATGAGACTGTTGGGGTAGGCTCTAAGCTCAGATGCCAAAGGATGAACGCCTGGTACTTAGGATGTGACAATCTTTGGAGACAGGTCTTTTAAAGAAGTCATTAAGATAACCTGAAGCCTTCTTATTCAACTAGGGGACTTGGGCCTTTAGGTGTTGACAACATACTCTGTATTCGAGGAAGTATTAGGGTCAGGGAGCTGCTGTGACAAGCCAGCCCCATGTGTCACAGGCTGAGAGGGGACAGCCTGAAGGGGCCAATGATGGCCCCTTAATGTGGACGTGCACTCAAGAACGTGAATTCCCTAGCTCTTGTGATTCTCCTCCCATGGGAAAGAGACAGTGGCATACTCTCTCTAGAGGGGGCTACTGTGGAATATTCTTTTAACTAGACAGAGATGTGTTACAATTGTTTCTGCTACCTTTCCACACCCCCTCAGGCTTTCTTGCCTTTTCTGAAGATTCTGTGTTGAATCTAAGCCTAGAAGTTGAGATGTGTGTAAGACACTTCCACGGTTGATTTCTCTCCAGAATGCCAGCCTGTGTGAGCTTTCCTGAATACTATTTCTTCTACACCACATACACTGTTTCGTTCTCTCAGCGCTGGGGTGTCTGAAGGGTCTTTCTAAGTTTGTACAGGTTCTTTTTCTTTTTTCTCTTTTGCTTTTTTTGGTTTTGTTTTGCTTTTTCGAGACAGGCTATCTCTATGTAGTTTCGTCCTAAAACTTGCTTTGGAGACCAAATTGGCCTCTAACTCACAGAGATCCACCTGCCTCTGCCTCCTGAGTACTAGGATTAAAGGCGTGCACCATCATTGCCCAGCAGTTTGTGCAGGTTCTAGATTAAAAAACAAAACAAATGACAAGGCAGAATACTGTATAGAGGAGAGCCCTACGGCACTCTGCTAGAGTTCTCAGTGGAGGCCTGCTGCCCGTGGGCAGACTGAGGAGACAGCATTGGTGGCATTCACCGGAACCCAGTAGAGAAGTCACTGTCTTTAATCCCTGTGCTTATCAGGGTCCAAAGTATGAGAGAGACCACAGAAGGAGACTGAACAGGGTGTCACGACAGCTGCACTTGCTTCGTGAGGGTCAGGAGCCTGACATAGGACAACCTCTGTCCTTTCTATAGAAACACGGCTTAATTATTAAGTTCAGGAACAAACCAGTGTGGGTGTCTGGGAGACCTGGTACGACCTTATCACCGAGTAACACTAAGAGCTTTCTGGGCTTGGGAATGACCCTTGACTGAAGACTGCTTTTCTCTCTGAGAAAGAATTTATAGTCGGCTCGCGTCCCTTCTGTGTTCACAATACCTGGGAACCAAATAAGGAAACAAAATCTGACTTTCCAGCTGGGTACTCAAAACCTGGAAGAAGTTGATCCTTCCAGGCATTCCTGAGAAGGCTCGGCTCTCAAAAATCCATTGAGGTGGTAGGACCAGACCCTTGCCGCCTTCCTCGTTTAGCCATTCATTCGGGTCACGGATATTATAAAGCACGTTATACTATGAACTATGTTGGTCCTTGAAGCTAAATGCTCACTTGTTTCAGCTTGTTCCTTCTCGGGCAGGTCAGGAGCCTAACTCGAGAGAGGGCAGAGTTTGACAACTTCACCCAGACAGAATCTGGAGAATGAGGGAGAAGTAACCAAACCACAAATGGGCTGTGATGGAGCTACATAGGAAGAAGCAGGCCCAGAAGCCATTTGAAGGCTGCTTTTAGGGCACCTAGAGAGTCACTTAAACTGAAGGCACAGGGACAGAGCAAAGAGGCCTGGACTGGGAGAACCAGAAACCTGAACCTTCAACCCTTCTTTGCCTTAAGAGCTGTGTGGCTTCTATGGTTTGAATTTGGCTCAGTCTCTCCAAAACTCAGTGAAATTTGCCGTTGTTGTGCGGGTGGGAGTGGAGGTGATGGGGAAGTGGGGGAGGGGTGGCCAATTAGTGCCTTTCTCAGGAGAGTTTTCACTGCACAGGACTGGGTTAGTTCCTGCCATAGTTGGTTGTTATAAATGCGTCCCTGGCTGGGGGTGCAGCTCAGGTGGCAGAGGGCCTGCCCAGCATGCACCAGGCCCCAGGTTCCATCCCCAGCACAGCAGAAACAAGTCATGTTGGCTCAGATCTATAACCTCAACATTTGGAAGGTGAAGGTGGGAGGATTCGGAGTTCAAGATCTTCCTTGGCTACGTAATGAGTTCTAGGACAGCCTGGGCTACATGAGACTCCATCCCAACTATTAAAAATATGAAGGTAAAGTGAGTCCCCTGGCAGTGTGTCTCTCTCTGTCACTCAGGTTTCCTTGCCCCATGAAAAGAAAAGATGCTGGCCCCATGTGCCTGGACTTCCAAGGCTGCATAAGTGTGGGACAAAGCTACCTCTTTGTTTATAAATTGTAATTATCATTTTCAGGAAAACTAAGCAACCATGCAAAATCCTTCCCTGTCCTAGGCTGCTGTGAAGCAAGGCATCACAGTTCCACCAGAAGACTCTTCTGTCTACCTCTACTGGCTCTTGGGGGTTTCCCTGACCCCCTCCCACTCTCACCTCATTGCTGTGGGGAGACTCATAACCCTGAACATCTCTCCTGATCAACTCTTGGGCTCTGAATCACGGGAAGTTAGCATTGAACCCATGAAGAAAAGTCGTTCTGATTTTGTCCACACGGTGGCGCTTTTCCTAGGCGCTGCTTGCAGAAACTGAAGAAGCTCAGCAAAGCTTAGGTGAGAACTGTGAATGCAGGGTCTGGTATCACCAATGGCTTGCTCACTGGCTCACTTTAGTTAGCTTTCTCACATAAACCAGACCCACTTGCCTAGGGCTGGCGCTGCCCACTTTGTTCTTGACTCTTCTACATCAATAAACGGTCAAGACTTATATGAGACTAACTCTTCCACCTACAGGCAAAGTGTAACCAAAACCTGCCTGGGTAGATGACATGTAATTTCTGCACAGGGCACTGCTTATGACTATGTCACTTGCTCCAATTCTGAAACATAAGAACTTTTGTTTTAGGACTGGGGGAGGAGCTTTCCTCAAGCCCCGCCCCTTCCCTCCATTCTACAGTTGGGGGTCCCTTAGCACCAAGGTAGTACTTTGAGGTACTGCATACTTGGTACCCGCCAGGCCTCTCCCCAT